TTGGAAATATAGAAGTAGCCTCAAAAATGAAGCAGAACAGAAAAAAAAGAAGAGTTTATGTAAAAAAAAAAAAAACTGGTGAAATCCAAATGAGGTAATAGCATTGCACCCATGTTGATGTCCTAGTTTAAGAAAGACGATGTTCTAAGTTATGTAAGACATTAGCGTTGGGAGGAGCTGCAGGATAATATGCTTGAACTCTTTGTACTATTTTGCAACTTTTTGTGGGTCCTAACTATTTCAGATTTTTTTTTTCATTTAAATGAAGTACTGTAGAAGGGGTACCAAAGCACCAGATCTGTTATCCCAGTCTTCCCCTGCTGTTCTTTGTACTGTGGCCACCCTGTTGATAGTTCCTACATTTTCATGTTTTGTAAAATGGATTTAAATTAGTGTTTAAAGGTGTTTTTAGTATTTTTTCTTTTTTTTTTTTTAGCTCATTGTAGAATGGTAAAAGGCTTCTGAGTAGAGGGGGCACTATCTCAGATAATTGAGTGTTACCATTTCACAGAATTTACAGAGTTCTTTTGAGACCTGAGTTCCACAGAACCCTGTGTACCTGTTAAATCACAGTTGCAAAGCTAAAACTGTGCCTGTGTTAGTCCCACCTAACACGAAGGCTAATACCACGTCACTACTAGACCGTGTTCTGTTTTTGAATTCTAAAAATACAGTTCACCAATAAAACAGTGTGGTGAAAATGAAACTATCAGGTTCCAAACTATGTCTCCCTTGTGATTTGCACAAGAACGTTAAGTTCTAGTATATATACCTTCAGTTATTCTCACATTGACACACAGAACCAAGAACCTATAGTTTTTTTAAGTTGCAGCACAAAATCTGAAAGGTTAACCAAAAAAATCATTCAATAGGAAACCGAGTAGGGCAGCCTATGGACATATGTTGTAGGGTCTATATTTAGTCACAATTTCCCCTTCTTATTTTAACAAGGCATTTAAAATAATAATAGTGAACACTTATGTTGCTCTTAGTACATGCCTGGCACCATTTTTAAAAAGAGCTTTATGTATATTAACTCATTCAGTTCTCAAAACATCCCCTGGGATGTCCCCATTATGTCCTTGAGGAAACTGAGGCGGATATTTAGGTGTTTTGCCCGAGACCACATAGTTATTAATGGCCTGTGGTAAAACTGGGTTTTAAAATGAGGCAGTCTGGCTACAGAGGCTGCTGCTGGACATTCCCTCAGCACAAGCTTTCTCCGGAAAAGCGGGCTTCAGATATTTTCCCCCTTTTCTTTAACAGCAACCAGAACTCCTCATTGAGGCATCTCTAACTTGTCCTTGGTTGAAACAGAAACTGGAGAGAGGCAATTAGCCCCACTCTATCCCGGCCACTCATGCCCCCACTTTCCCTTTTATATACCCGGCCCGAAGCACACACACTAACTCTAAGCTGTAACTCCAAGTTAACAGGCAGATTGACAAGTCTAGCTAACGCCAAAGCCCCAGCTCTTTATGCTAGTGGCCCACAGGTGGAATGACCTAAGTTGACCTGGGATGTTCCCAGTTTTATGGTTGAAAGCTTCACGGCAGTGGGCTCCCCATAGCCCTGGGCAAACCAGGATAAGACAGCAGGTCAGTATTTGCCTGGTGAGGGGGTGGGAATGGGAAGCAGGGTTATGGAGGGGTGAGAGGAAAGAACTAGAAAGGGACACAGGGAAACTTGTGGAGGTGATAGCTATGTTCCTTATCTTTATGACAGTGGTGATTTCATGGATTTTAACATACATCAAAACTTATCCAGGAGTATGCCTTAAATATGCAGTTTATTAAATGTTAATTATACTTCAATAAAGCTGTTCATATCAACCACAACAAAACTACCGATATTCAGGCCCCATCCCAAGACATTCAATTTCAAAAGGGGACTCAAGCCTCAGTATTTTAAAGGACCCTAAGCACTCTGAAAGGTAGTTCAAATGTGCAATCCTGCTTGGAAACTGGCGCGTTGACACCTGCCACCTGGAGTTCCTGCCCTAAACAACTGAAAGGATTAGTAACAATAAGGAGATGGAGGACAAAGAGTCGAAGAAGGCGAAGTATGAGGATGATGATGATTAATGAAGCGCAAATGGGCTTCTTAGGCAATGGCATTGACAGAGAACAGCTGATTCCACTAGGTGGCATCTGGACACTTCTCTTCAGCATGACTTCCAGGGAACCGGAAGCTGCCTGAGGTATGTTATAGGAGGGAGCCCCAAGCAGACAAAGGCACCAGGCTTATTGGAACAGAAGACAATTAGCAACTTGGGAAGATATCAGGTCAAGAGTCACTTGAAGTTCTAGGTCATTTGAAGTTCAAAGAGCAGAGCTATTTATTCAGGAACTAACTCCTGGAGAATAAGTGAATGACGTTCTCAAGGAGACTGAGCATGGAGCAGAAACCCTGTGTCTAGGACAGTCCTCTCTCTCTCCGTGGAGGGCTGTTCCCTACATTTTCAACTTTGCTTTCCCAGGCCACGACTGGAAAGCAGGACACCATGACCAGCCCCTCTCTTTGCTGTGACTCAGGACTTCCTCTTCTGCTTCCCAAAGCCTTTGTCCCCTCTGCAGGGGTCCCTCTTCATTTTAGTCCCCCTGCCGTTGTCTGGCCTCTGCTGTGCTGAGCCAGAATCACTTGCCTAAGTGATCACACTCCTCTGGTCCACCCTGAAGAGTCAAGGATCCAGGCGGTCATGGTGTGTTGGGGGCAAAATTTAGGTTCTGCTGTTTGTGCTTCACTGTCCCCTCCATCAGGGAACATAAAGCAGGTCCCCAAAAGATGAACCAAAACACACTGGGCGAGTAACAGCCCACATTAGTAGTTTCCAAATTCTCCCCAGAACCCATCAGGAACCAGGTGTCTGAGCAGATCCTCGGGTCCACAGGCTCTGGAAGTGAGGCACCTGCTTTATCAACTTAATTCTGTCACGGATCCCCAGCTCCAGCGAATTCTGTCTCTAGGGTCACTCATGCTGGCAGCCATGCCTGAGAAAAGTGCAACCAAAGCAGCAGCTTAGATAACAAGACCCTTTGATTGTATGTGAATCCCGCATAGCATAGCGCTCTTTTCTCTGTTCTATGTGCAGGGATTCCATGTATGATTTCCTAAAGGTTTCTGTTGCTAGAAAGTCTGCAGAGCACTCTCCTACATCTTCCTGAAGTGTTCTCCTTACAAACCTAGGCTGTTGTGCAGAGTGGGACACAGATTTTTGTCATTTCAGAGAATGGGATTCTGCCCTCCCCAGACTTTCCAGACAAAGAGCATTGCCTCTCCTCTTGCTGCAAGGTTGTGCCAAACCACTAGCCACAAAGTCTCCTTCTCTACGTTTTCCAGATACTCGGAGCAAAGAATTCTCAAGGTAGGTTGACCTCTGAAGATTCGGTCCCCACAATGTCTCCAGCACCTTCTTCTGTTTCAGACTTAGTTCCGTCTCCTGGCACTGACTTTCTGGCTTCTCTTCCCACCCTCTATTTTTCAAATGCTTAAAAATTTGTGTTATTAAATGTTGAGTAGATTTGAAAAATGTATTAAGTACATATAAGTTATATAGAATCATAATCCAATGAGCACCTGGGTACCCATGGCACAGGGAAAGAAAAATCACATTATTCTTAGCCCTGGAGTCCTCAGGACATTCCTCCACAACCCCATTTCCCTTCCTCTCACGTCCAAGGCAAACACTACACTGAATTTTGTGTGTATCACACCTTTGCACTTCTTAATAGATTTCCTACCTGTGCTTGAATCTGTAAACAATACATTGCTTACTTCTGTATGTTTTTAAACTTTATATAAAATTGATTCATACAGTATATATTCTCAAGACAATCTTGTTTTTGAGATTCACTTAATTGTTGCAAGTAGCTGCAATCCATTATTGCAGTGCTTTATAGTTGTCCCTTGTGAATGTATCACAGTTTTTTTTTTTAAATCCATTCTACCCTTAGTGACCTTTAGGCTGTCATGTTTTCCATCATGAACAGGGCTCCTGTAAACATCCTTGTACATATCTCCTGGTACAGGTATACAAGAGTTGCTCTAGGCATGGAATTTCTGGGTCTTAGGGTAAAAATCGGTGTTATCAAGATAATTCCAAATCATTTTTCAAGGTGCATGTTCCACTTTGGAATGCGCCCATCATCACTGACTGCTTTGTTGCGCTATATCTTTGCCAGCAGTTGATATTGTCCAATTTCCTAATTTTCACTAGTCTGGTAGATGTAAAATGGCATTCTGTGTAGTTTTGTTTACAGGATTGCTGAAGAGGCTGAGAATATATTCATATGTTTATTGGCCATTATCTTTTCTCTTCTTGAAGTGGCTGTTATGGGATAACTGGTAAAGGATAGGGCACAGACCTCAGAGCCTGGCCCTCAAGGACAGGAGTCCCAGCCTAGAGTTTAGTTTCTCAGCTATTTTGATGGCTGAGTAAGTAGAGGCTCTTCTAGCCACCTGCATCCCACCTTACCCAGTGATTCTCCCTCAAAACTGTCATATGGTCTCTGTCGCGTAAGACCAGCTTCACATGGCCTCCTTAAGCAGGATCCAGGCACTTCATGACCCACGATCCGGTAGAGAAAATGGGCTGCCTTCCTGCCACATTGCCAGCTCTGTGCTGCAGGCTGCGCACCCCAAAGATGCTGCTTAGGACTCCCGGCTGGACACCCCCGGAGTCAGACAAGCTCCGTCTGTGAGTAGTCCATCCTCACTATCACACGAGGCCTTACTGACTGGATCTGTAAGTACTGAGCTAGGTGCTAGAGACAGAAACAGGAAAAGACCATCAGGCCTAGCCCTCAGCCGGGATGGGGGGACAGAGCCATCCGCCCATGAGGGGCTCGGCATGGGTCTCCCCAGGCCTCCGCGTACGTCCCACGCCACACCTCCCAGACCGCCCCCTTCACGGTGAGGAGCCTGGGTCTAAGCCAGTGGGAGGAGCGTCGCGTAACCGCGCCGAGCGGAGTGGGCGGAGCCGAGCGTCTGCGTCGCTGCTGGTCGCCTAGCAACGACGCAACGGGGAGCAATGGAGGCCAACAGCAGCAGGGAGCTGGAGGCCAGGAATTATCTGGAAAAACATCAGATTATGGAGTTGCTGAACTTTCTCACAAGCGCCCTCCTCTTTTTCCGGCCGGGTAAGTGTCTTGCCTACCCCTTGGCTTTCTGTCCCTCACCAAGCGGTCCCCAGAAACTCCCGGCATAGCTATCCCTTCCCGCCGGCGTCTCGCGGGGCCGGCTTCCCTCACAGATACCTCCCCGCGACAAACGCACACTTTCTCCTGCCTCTCGGCTACTTAATCCCTTCTGCTGCCAGTTTACGCTGTGGGCTTCAATTAAACGAGGACTTGCTGAACGGCCTCTTTGTGCTTGCCACTAGCCGGGTGCTGCCGGGTATAGGGTATAGGGCTAGTGGCGGGTGGGCGAGAGGCTCCACTCCTCAGTACTGTGTGACCGTGGGCAAGAGTCTGAACTTCAGTCTCTTCTGGAAAATGGGGATTATAATAGTACCGATCTCATGGCAAAGTGGGGAAGATTAAGTGAATACTGTATAAACCATCTTTATGCCTGGTAAGCAACAGATGTTTCCAGTGTTAGCCCTGCCCTCAAAGAGTTTTTAATCTGGTGAAAACAGCTGATAGGGTAAAACGGAAGGTCATTCTTGAGACAGATTTTCTTGGCATTTTTAAAAATACATCTGATCCCCTTACAAAGTTTGAATCATTTCATAATTTTTGTGTGGTCTGTAAATTTAAATGTTATATTAAGGTGAAAATGACTTGATGTCCTTCTGCCCAGGGTGCAGAATTGTAACTTGCCAGCCTCATATAGAGTGTCCAAAATGCCAAAATTGTCCATTTGCTTCTGTCAGGAAATGTAAATACCAAACATTCCAGTCTAGTGGTTTTAAAATAGCAAAGCAATAAAAGCTCTGCAACAATTAAAAATAAATAGAAAATGAAAAATAAAGTATAAAGGAATGCACTTCTTTAATGCACTGAGGAAAAGTTGCTATCATACTAATTCTTAAAAACCTATTTTTTGAAAAAAGTAGTCACCGTCTCTTGCTGGTGTTCAGTACTGTAGTGGTAAAAATAGTCTTGCTGTTAGATGCAGCAACCATATCTATGTATCTATATATCAGAACTTCAGAAATTGCAGAAGTAAAACCAATGAATCATCACAGTAGTAATCAGTAAAAGTGTATTGTGCACACACCAAAAAGTCAGTCTGCAAACCAGTAGCACTCAAACCAAAACAAGGAATGAGTCTCAGAGATATATTGCTTTAAAGAGACTTATACAATGAGAAGGCAGTGACTGTTTATTCTTTACAGTAATTTATTATAATATTAGAATTTTCTTAAATGATAGAGAATTAGTAAGTGGTTATAACCTCATATCAACCTTGGGAAACAGTTTAAATTTTGCTTATGATTTCCAGAGACATAAGCAAGAAATGACCTGGGTCAAGTTAGTCTTGCAAAATAAGCTAAATTAGCTTTGCTCATATGACTAAACTCGTTTTGTCTGCTCGGGGAATTTTTCAAGGCTGGTCTCCATTTGCTGTTGATTTTAACAGTTCTCCCCCTTTCGGTCATTCTCTTGGCGGACTAAGAGTATGACCAACTAGTACAGCGTTATTCTCGGTTATCACCATTGAAGTAGTCAGGCTGAAGAACCAACAGACACTGCGTTAGTTGAGTCCTTAGGTGAGAGAGCCACCTTGTCGCTGTCTTCATCTTCATGTGGTTATTGTTGATTTCATCCAGTCATCTGATGAATGTGAAGACATTTTATTTCAGGAGGCTGTGTTGCAGGTGAGTTTCCACCTAAATGAGGCTTCTGTATGGTGTGAGCAATCAGGTAATTTAACGAGAGGCATCTCTATGGAAACAAAAGAAAAGTAAAGGCTAATCATTTGAGCAAATTTTAAATTAAGTTTCTGAGTTTGGAGAGCAGCCATTTGAGAAAATTTCTAGATTTGAGTTGGAAGTATCTCTTGATGGTGGAGTGAGTATGGCTGTTACAGTATGGTGGATTTTCCTGGTGACCTTTCTAAGTGGCTCCGGAACAGCAAGCTTGCAGATCACCCACCCCTGAGCTGTTGTGGTGATTTCTCAGAGGTTTTATCAAGTTGTCCAGCTTTAACTTGCCTCGGGCTTCAGGAAAGGGCAGTGTGTTTCATAGTGATTTGGAGGCTTCTGGAAAGGCAGTTGTGTTTCATAGTGATTCAGAGTCAAAAGAGTGGGAGAAAATTGGAAACGTTAGTTTGGAGTATTGTAGTCAACTATTGGAAGAAACTAAAAGAATTCAAGATCCAGTCCAGTTTATAGATAGAAAATAAAACGTCAAAGAGGGTTAACAGTACCAGAATCTGATCTCTTACAAAGGCGTATTACTGAAACATAAATTTTCTCTGTATAATCATCCCCACTGCTGTCAAAGATAACCACAGTAAGATGAGTTTGTTTGCAAATTCAGTCTAGTTTCAGCAAAGTTGATCCGCTTATTTATATAACACACAACAAGAACAGTGATTGACCAATTGGGCTCTTTTAAATCTGCTTTGCTGGAACTTTTCATAAAGAATCTTAGGTTAGACCTTTAAAGTCTCTTTAGGCTAAGAAATCAAGCCAAGGACTTGTATGGTTGTGTCCTGCTACAAAGAGAACAGTCTTACTGAACTTACACAGATACATATATTGTCATGAAAAATAAGAATATTTAATAAGAGTTTCAGAATTCTGGAGGAATCAGGTGGGAAGAAAACGATAAGTGTTTCAACTTTTGTTTCAAAAATATACTTTACCAATTTCTGGTAAATCATGTATAGTTTAAAAGAGTAGGAGAGGTCCCTTTAAATCTGGAAAGCAAAACAATAAAGAATCAGCAGTATTTTAAATGAAATCATAAAAGTTAAAATCATCTTCATCAGTTCATTCAGTCGTCATAATTCTTGTTTTGCTTGATCTTGGTTAGTAACTTTATGAATCACTTTTCCACTAGAATTCTAGAAATCTTTACCCAGTTCAATATTATGATCTTACAATTATCAGAAACCTTTACTTGTCAGAGTCTGTTTGAATCTATTTGAAGATGAAGCACTTTTCACGATCATTTTTGCAAAAGCATCACAGGGAAGCAATAACTGTCTATGAGTGACTAAAGACTTAAAAATAACCATGATTAAAGAGCTGGTGAGTGTTCACACACAAAAATGATTCAGTTAAGAAAGAAATTTGGTAATTTTTATGGTATATAATGTTTTAAAATAATAGCTGGAATTATGACTAATAACATACCAGAACATACCAGGTTTTCAAGAATTTCATATAACTTCTGAATTACTTATTTTAGTGATATATCCCATATAAATATGATCTAAGAAAATTAAATATTGCTTTTATTTCACAGTGTTTCCCATGCAATTTAATATATCAAATAAGCCTAAATAAATTAACATTCCTCTTTTTACTGCATTCAGAATTTGATTTAGAAAGTTTGTTTAAAATGTCAAAATATTTAAAATACTTCATCAAATAGAATCATTGGTCACTGTGAAACAATAGTTATCCATTGAAAGTAAAGTGACTGAAGATTTCAGAGGCAAATGCAGAAAGTCATATAGTTGTAAAACAAACAAGCAAATAAAAATTAGCTCTTTTAGTATCGATAAGACTTGGGGGTTTTTTTTCCCTACATAGTCAAAGACCTGATAAATACAACGTGAAGCACAGGAAATTATTTTCATAAAACACATCTTCCTTTCCGAGGCAGATGACATTAAAGCTAAAAATTTTTGTGTACAATTTCTTATTAAGAGCAGATCAATAATCTTAAAAAGTTGTGATTTTTAACAAAAAAACAAATTCTAATTTTGTATCATTATGCTTTTGATATTAGAACTCTTTTTTTAAACTTAAATCCATTTCAGTCTTAGCTTGAAAACACATAAAATTCCTTTCTCAAGAGTCTTTTTCCACAAACCTTCTACAACTTTTATATCCATTTAGGTTTTGTTTTGTCTTTTTTCCTTTCTTATTCTGGAACAAAAAAAGAAACCCCTGTCCTTTATACCCTTCCTTATCTAAAGAACACATTCTATTTTCTTTACCTACTTTTTATGAAGTGTCTTTTCACTCTTATTTTTTCTAATATTTTTATTTGTACATGTTAATAATAAAATTTAACTGTAGTCTTCGCTTTCCAGTAAAAACTAGGAGGCAGGCAATTGTGAACTATCATATATTAGCATTCCATAGTAGATTAGCAAATTTATAAATACATAATCATAAAAAAGTATACTTTTTAGAGACGTGTTTTTTACAGTACAATTTTTAATGTGGCAAAAATGTACCAATAGACCCAAATATTCTTTCTCTCTTTGTAAAAGTTAAAAAGCCAAAAGTAGATAAATTAATGTTTAGCAATCAATATGTCAGTATATTATCTTCTCTGGAAATGATCTAGATATTCAATGAATATCCATTATTTAGTTTAACTTAGTATAAATTTATATTTACATTTATTTAAAACGCTTGGCTTTTAGCAATTATACTTGGATTAGACATTAAACAGTCAACCATTATCTTAAATTACTTTTCTCTTATTTATTTATTTTTATCTTAAGTTATTTTTCTTATTGGCAAATTCCTTAACAGAAATAGACACAAACAGAGATTTTATAGCTTTCATTTTAAATTTTAGTCATGTCTCGGGGACCATAATACAAAACTTAAAAGAATAGTTGGATCCAAATTGTGTTTCTGGCAAGTAGACTAAGCTAAGATTACCTGCTGAGATGGCTGATGTTTTTTCACCAAAAATTTTTTATTTGCAGGCTGTGAGAAACCTTTTAGAGCTATTTTTGGAGTTATTTTTTCTCTTAGAGGCTTCTGCATACCAACCAAAGAGTGCATTTCATTGTCTCTGACAGGTTTGGGATCCTCTCTTTTAAGGGTGCCTCTTAAGTGGACTTCTCTAAGTTAGAAGTTCCCTTACGGTGGTCACTACAATTCCAAAAGTACACGCACACACTCACACACTCATACCTGTTCCCACTCACCCCATCGACCCGATAGAACACAATTTTGGTATGATCGGTATTCAGAATTTACATTATTATTATCAGGCAGATAGCCACAGCTAATGCATATAGTGTGCTATGATTACATTGCCTTTGTTGTTTTCCTGGAAGTTAATGATACATTTTCTATGTTGGCTTAAATTTTCTGTGTAATTATCACCAATTTATCCATATCCTCTTTTTGTCACAAGTAGAGATCTCGTCTCACTACATTTACACTCATCAGGTAGTCACCACCCGCACCCTCTCCCCCAGCTCTGTCTTCCTGCTCCAGGCTGGGCTGACTGCTCAGCCGCCCTGCCCTCACTCACTGTGTAGGTGTGCTTATTCAGAGTTTCCACCCAAGCCCCCCTGGCGGCAGGGGACAGGGGACCAGGGACCCATACCTGTAGTGTCTGAGACCTTATCCTGATGCTGCATAGCAAGTTGCTTTGAAGTCACTTGTTTTATCTAAAAAATTAATGAGTTTTGTTCTTCTGCAGATACACTAGTGTCCCCCCATAGCCATGGTTTTGTTTTCATTGGTTTTGGTTACCTGCAGTAAACTGCAGTCTGAAAATATTAAGTGGAAAATTCCAGAAATAAACAATTCATAAGTTTTAAATTTCTCACTCTTCTGAGTAGTGTTGATGAAATCTTGTGCCATCCTGCCCAGGCTGCGAATTGTCCCTTTGTCCAGGACATCCACCCCTTAGTCACTTAGCAGCCATCTCAGCTGCCAGACTGACTGTGGTGATTGATATTGCAGTGCCTGTGCTCAAGTGACCCTTATTTTACTGAATAATTGCCCCAAAGTGCAAGAGTAGTGATGCTGGCAATATGGATATGCCAGAGAGGCTCCATAAAATGCTTCCTTTAAGTGAAAAGGTAAAAGTCCTCAATAAGGAAAGAAAAAAATCATATGCTGAGGTTTCTAAGATCTGTGGTAAGAACAAATCTATTTGTGAAATTGTGAAGGAGGAGAAAGAAATTCATGTGAGGTTTGCTGTTTGCACCTCACTCAAACTGCAAAAGTTACAGCACAGTGTGGTAAGTGCTTGTTTAAGATGGAAAAGGCATTAAATTTGTACCTTAAGGGATTTTGAGAGAGATCACATTCATATAACTTTTATTATGGTATGTTGATATAATTATTATTAGTAATCTCCTATTGTGCCTAATTTATAAATTAAGCTTTATCATAGGTATATGTTTGTGTAGGAAAAAAAAGTAGTATAGATAGTGTTCAGTACTGTCTGTGGTTTCAGCCATCTACTGGGGGTCTTGGAGTGTATCCCTCCTGTATGGGGGAGCTACCGTTTCCTAATGTTTCATATTACTCAGCAGAGGATGATTAATGCTTAGAAAGAAACACTGTCTATTTTGGGTCTTTGCAAAGCTCCTGGCAGTGTCTCAGTGTCTCAGAAAACCTTGGAATTGTAACAGGGTTATGGAATGTAACACTAGACGGTGTGGTCGGGCTGTTACTGTGGTGGGAACACTTCCACAATCCCACATCTTTGATCCCCAAATTCTAAAAGCTCTAAAAACCAACAGATTTTCATAACTCATTTAACAGTAAAATCTGCCGTAATCTGAAGTCCTTTGGCAGGAAAATCTGGCCTTACCTGGGGTTTACTGGGAAATAGAGCCCCTGGCTGGGCAGTCATTCCCAGTGACAACTCTGTGCTGTGGAAGGAGGGAGTATACACTTTTAGGGGGTGACTTTAAATAAATTAGAATTTTTTTTTAAAGGATGCACTTGTAGTAACCGAGGTGAGAGATACTGCTGTGGTAGTGGTGCGGGTAAGATGAATTTGAGAGCTTTTGAGGAAAAAGACTAGGATCATCATGACTGACTAGATTTGGGTGTTGCTGATGCTTCTCATATTGAGTTAGTAGAGTGTGGTCGGTCATGTCTGCAAGCTTAGAAGTACATTGCCTAGCTTCACACTGGCTGTGTGGCCTTGAGCAAGTGACTGTTGTGAGAAGTAAATGAAGTAATCCATAGAAAATGCTTAGCATAGTACCAGGCACGTAGTAAGGGCTCAATAAATATTAGCTATTAGTATTGAGACATTATACTCGAAGTTTATCTCCCTTGAAGAACTGATTGTAATTATCAGCTGACATTTATGCAACTTAAGTGGTTAGTACATTTGGCTCTTCCCTTCATATTTTAAAAAGTCTGTATCTTTATTACATATATTTCTGTTGTAAGCATGTTCAAAACATTTTTAGAAGCAGGTGGAGTGTAAATTATAGAATACAAATTTAAACATAGCACCTCATGTAATCTGAAGGCAATACAGCAATAAATTTCATCAAAGTAACATACCAACTTTCATCAGCATTATCTACTTATTCTAGCCTTAAAAAGAAATGTAGTGAGCTGAAATTCAAACTAGGCCGTTTTTCTGACTTTTATATGTAGTACAGGAAGAAATGACAGAAGACTACATACATGATGTGATTGCCTTAGGAACTATTTGCTGCTGTAGTGTATTAAAAATTGCACAAAAATACACTATGTTAGATAAAAAAAAAAGTCTGTCTGCTTCTAGTTTCAACACATTATTCCAAGGAGTGAAATAAATTGAAGAGAAACTTATATCAAGAGAGATTTCAAAACATAACCTGTCACAATGTGTGAACTCTATTTGATTACTGATTTTTAAAGAGTGTTTACAATTGACAACATTTGTGAGACAACTGGAAGATTGAATAATGCCTGGCTATTTGAGAATATTAAGAACTTTGTTAGATATGTTAACTACATCAAGAGAATCGTATTGTGGTAACATGAAAACAGAATTCCCTCTTCAACAAATGGTATTGAGAAAACTGAATAACTAAATGCAGAAAAATGAAATTGGACCCCTGCCTAACACCACTCACAAAAACTAACTTGAAATGGATCAAAGGCTTAAACATAAAACCTGATACTGTAAAATTCCTAGAATAAAACATAGGAAAGAAGCTCCATGACATTGGTCTTGGACATGACACCAAAAGCACAGACAGTAAAAGCAAATATTAACAGGTGAGATTGAAACTTACGCACAGCAGAAGCAGCAGTCAACAAAATGAAAAGGCAACCTATGGAATGGGAGAAAATGCTTGCAAATCATATATATGATAAGGGGCTAAAACCCAAAATATGTGAAGAACTCATATAACTCAATAACAACAATAAAAAACCAATGAGTAAAAATGGGCAGAGGAACTAAATAGACATTTTTCCTAAGAAAACATCCAAGTGGCCAACAGGTACATGAAAAGGTGCTCTATATCACAAATCATCGGGAAATGAAAATTAAAACCACAGTGAGCTATTAACTCACACCTGTTAGACTGGCTGTCATGGGTGGACCTTGAGGACATTGTGCTAAGTGAAATAAGTCAAATACTGTATGCTGTCACTTATATATGGAATCTTAAAAAGCCAAACTCATAAAATCAGTTAGAATGGTGGTTACCAGACGCTGGGGGGCGGAGGATAGGAAAGATGTTGTTTAAGGATACAAACTTGCAACTAGCAGATAACTAACGCACAGCATAGTGATTACAGAGAACCATGCTGTGTTGTAAACATCAACCTTGCTAAGACACTAGATCTTAATTGTTCCCATCACAAAAAAACAATGATCATTTGTGATGTGATAGAAATATTGGCTAGCACACACCAAAATGTCATACGCCTTAAACTAACACAATGTTACATGACAACTATACCTCAACAAAAAAGAGAAAGAGGGTCCTTATCTTTTAGTGATACACATTCAAACATTCATTAATGAAATATAATGCTGTGATTTACTTCAAAATAATACAGGAAGAGGGGAACTAGGTGAGATTATGGTGAAATAAGACCAGCCACAGTTGACGTTGGTGATGAGTTCATTATACTTTTCTGTCTACTTTTATATGTGTATGAAATTCTCAGTGACATAAGTTTTTAAAATAATATATATGTAAATCCTGGGATTAAAGTACAGTGATGGAGCAGATGTGGCACTCACCATCTAAGCCATACCACTTTACTTCTTTTTGCTTCTTTTATTATCATAACTAACCTGCATTACTTCTGGAAAGTGGATTGATCTTGGTATTTCATTTTTCACATTCTTTAAATGAAAGATGATAGCCTATGTATCCAAAATGCTGTCTTTATGTTAGAAATGAACATTTATGCTTCCTTATTGGAGGACTGTATTAATCCAAGTGTTTGTTCTTTTAAGTCTGTGTATTTTTCCCTTCTTTTAGTTGACCTTTCCTGCATCGTGCTGTTCCTTTTAAGGGGTTTTCAACTGTCTGTAAATTGGAGTCACCTAAGGAGCTTTTTTAAAAAATGTGCACGTCCAATCTCTGGACATTTTTATTCAGTCATCTGGAGTAGAGTACTTTTGTGTGTTATTACTTAATTGTCCAATGTCTTGACTTTCCTGCAAGCAATGCCTATATTCCCAGTACCTAGTATAGTACTTCAAACATATTTAATAATCGTTACATGACTATTTCCACGTGTGACATATTTTAATTTCATATCAGAAAGAACTGGAACCATTCTTTTACAGAAAAACCAAGAGAGTATTTAATATCTATATTGGAACGGCTGAGAATTGCCAAACTAACAGGCGTGGCCTTCCCTTTCTTTATGGATAACTCTAACATTGTGGCTATGTTTGAGATGATGGATTCCTCGAATAAAGGCATCATATCATTTATCCAGTATAAAGAAGGTCAGTATCTTCTACAGATTGAGCTAATGGTTCATGGTCATTCCATAACTTTGTCTAGCTGAAACAAATTCTCATGTTGTAAATTTTCCTTCCTTCTTATTCTGACTCTCATAGCCCTAAAAACCCTGGGTCTGTGTACTGCAGATGAAGTTTTAAAAGATGATGGACATGGAATAACTTTGGAAAAATTCCGGCGTGAAGTGTAAGTTTATTTTTAAATGACTAATATTTAAATAACGTGGCATGATTTCTAAGTACAATTAATGTATTTTAAAACAGAGCTTCCTGCCTTGTGATAGAAACATTTCATTCCCTGAAACTTTCAGCTGACTAGAAAATGAGGACAGAGAGGGCTGACAGTAGTCTCTAAGTCTGGATGGCGGGAAAGGAGAAGATGCTGGAGTTAGGAAGAGCTAGAGGCACCTGCATTCTTTTCTCAATGGGAAACCCCAGCAGTTCTCAAAGAGTGAAGTAGAGGAGCCCCAATCTGCTAGAAGAACTAACAGAAAAGCTTTCAGCTCAATACATTAGTTGGAAAATCTTTGTATAAAATATAGAGTAATAAAATTTCTCTCAAAATACCTCCTCAAAATGACTTCCACAAAGTAAATGTTTATTAGTAGTTTACATATCATGCCAGCCTGAAAATTTTGAAGTATTACAGCATGAAAAGTACTAACTAAATGCTGTCAGAAAAAAAAAAAACACTGGAATAAAATTTGATAGTTGTAGCAGCCTCTAGCTAATCTAGCTCAGTTTGTTTAAAAGTTTTATTTAACACAGTCCAAGGTCAAGGAAAAGTTAGAAGAAAAAGAAAGTTTAAGATTCTCATCTCATCATTAGTTATATAAATATCCAACAGAAAATTTAATTACATTCCCTACCCCAGTGAAAGATTGAAGCACGGTGCTCTAGCTGAAATGTTTGATCCACAAAGCAAAGGTTGTCCATTGTCACATGGAGTGGAACTAGGAAGTATTCTAAATGGAAGGACATCTGTGGAAAATGAGAGCAATCCTATTTCAATCACCATCTCATAATGTGTTTTCTTATGGGAAATACAATGAATTTCTGAACTATAGGAACTTCAATTATAAACATACATTTTAAAGTGATTTTTTAAAAATTTATTTGATGTATTAGATTATCTACAACAGTCTCCCTTAATTGGCATAGGAAATTAAAAGTCAGTTATAATATATTATCTCTGCTCTTGTATGTTAGTCAACAGACATTCATCATTTATATTTGAATATCTGAGTTTTCATGGTTTCTGACCTTTTTGTATTTGTTTTCTTAGGAACAAGAGGACTCAGGAAATATGGTCAGCATTTTAATAACACTGTAAGTCCAAGATAATAAATGATTGTATAAAGTTTTCATTTGTCCAGTTTCATTATTTGAGAACTTGATCATATAACTTGAAATCCAACTGGCTTTCTCTTTGTTAAAAACAAACAAATAAAAACCCAAAAACCCCAAAACAACAAAAAAAGACACTTTATTTTCCAGTGTTAGGCCAGTTTGTTCTCAAATTAAGTAGAATCTCAACATCTTGTTGAGCCAGTTTGTAAATTCCAACTTCATTTAATGCCGCTGTGGCAGGAGGTTGCCCCGAAGTTGACTGCAAGACATCCTTCAGAAGTAAGGCAGAACCAATATTCAAATTCAAAACAATACAGGCTTCTTTTACACTGTTTTAAAAAAAAAAAAGCAGAAAGGAAATGAGATCTCCATTATGTAAATCATCTGTATTATCCTATAACAATTTCATTCTGAAAATCTAACAGCATATGCCCTTTATAAAAACTATTTATGGATTAACTATTTGGCTCTTTTAAGGTGTTTTGACTGTATATGTACAGTAAACTCTGTACATATACAGAGTTTATACTTCATTAGACGACTTACTGTAAGGTAAGAGGATTGTTGTTTTCAATACATAACCATTACTTCCCAAAATATACTTGATACTAACAGTCTATTAAATGTAGCTAAGACTTTAGGTAGATTAGGATATGGGAAAAGAGAAAATTAAGGATAGGTAGAACACTAAAATAAAAAAGCACAAGTAGATATCTTACTGAAATGAGCAAAAAAACCCTTTCATTTTGTATTTAAAAGGAATACTTTATAATCTCAGAAACCTAAATAATTGAAATTTTAAGTCAACAATTTCTAAAAATACTTCTAACATACATTTATAGCTACACTTAGAACCAACATTAATATCAGATGTTTAAGAAAACAAATTTTCTTCAGGCCTGGCCTGTTATCCAGTGGAACTGCATTAGCTTCATTTTCTATTTACTTCTCAGTAATAAGTAAATAGGAACATTAAACCAAATTTTAGAAAACATAGCCCAACATATAATTTATATCCAGTTCTGGTCAATTTGGGGGGGTCATAGGTCACACCTTGTATTACTGGTACACGAATATTTTAAATTGTTAATTGATGCTATATATATTTTTACATCACTGGAACCCTAAAGTTGTTAAAAAAAAAAAAAAGGAATCAACCTCCTCTAACAATCTGATACATTAGAATAAATTGTTAAAAACTGAGCTTACTGTTTAAAATAATTCTCTGGCCTCTTGCAATAGTGGGAAAACAAAGGGAAAAGATTCCGAGTCATATCGAACTGCAGCTGAGCCGCTCCTCCTTCATTGAAGTGATTGGCAAGAATTATCTGAAACAAAGGACAATTCATACAGCAGCTGCCTTTATCATCACAGCCCCAGATACAGTCCACTCCTCCTTACTTCTTGGTAGATGTATATATCCAGCTTCTCCACAAGCATTTGCCAGAAAACTTTAAATAAGGAGAAGCAAAGCTGCTGCTCCAGCTGAAGTAGACGGTCGCGTAAAGTGAGCAGTAACGGGCAAGCCGCGCTGGACAGGGACATCACCGCCTGCTCTGCCTGAGATGGCAGGGACAGCCACCTGGAAAACAAAACCGGCACTGCACGTTAACGCTTATTTTGACATTTTTCATCACTATTTTTAAAGATTTAACAAATCATATTAAAGTGGGGGCAGTGCACTGTTCTGGGGCATTTTGGAGGAGAAAATGTACAGCCCAACGTGAAAAGCTGTCTTGGAAAATAAATGTAAATAAATGAAAAAAATTCTCTAGTTCTCAATTAAATACTCTTTTATTTAATGAAGATAATTTTTAAAAAATCTCAGATTTTAATGACTTACTGATATAAACCAGTTAGAATGTAAAATGCATTAGCATTTAAGATATCAGCTAATTTTATGCTCTAATTTTCAGCAAAATAACAGGGACTAATAACACTTCCAAACTGCTAAAAAGTACTCTGTGTGACAGGACTGTGCCAAGACAGACGGACCTGCCTGCTCACAAGGAGCTCACAGGGTGGGTGGGTGGGGTAATAAGGGCACCCCCAGGGGACCCTGACAGGCTCCACCACAAGCCAACCGCCCAGGTGCTGCAGGAAAACCTTGCTTAGTCGATGGGGACAGGCTAGGCCATTCAACCCCATTCCATACACCAGCAATCTGTATTTACAGACACCTCTGAAGGTTAAGTTATGATCAGTTTATTCTGAGTAAGAATGTCTGAATATACTTTAGGAAGATTTCCATCAAAAACAGTTGTACGTTTGGAGTGCAAAAGGCCAAACTCTGTGCTACCTAGACACCTTGGAAATCTGACTGTATGTTTCATCTCTTAATTTTTACCAAACTGGAGTTGAGAGTCAACTTACAAGAAAATACAGAGGACTTACCTTTCTTTTTTATACAATTTTGCAGCATCTTTAACTTCTCTAAAAACATGATCTACTTGCCGGGTCAACATGTCATGCTTTAAACGCTCTAACAGGTTAATCATGTCATCAAAGACAGAGCTCTCCATAGATGCCAGTTGTCCCAGCTGCAGTTTACTGAGAGTGTTATTCTCTGCGAAGACTTCCAGGGCTGCCTGTTGAAGTTGTAGAAAGAACTGAAAGCAGAAATGTGTTAACATATTTATTAAGATACTTCTTTTTTAACAGCTTGAAATATAACTTATATACCATACAGTTCACTCATTTAAAGTATACAATTCAGTGGCTTTTATTAGTACATTGAGTTGTGCATCTATTACCACAGTCAATTTGAAGAATGTTTTCATTATTCCAAAAAGAAATCCCACACTCTCAGCCATCATCTCCCACTCCCCTTAGCAATCCCCTCCTCACTCCCCCATCCCTAGGCAACCACTATTTGTCTCTATGGGTTTGCCTATTCTGAACATTTCATATAAATGGAATCATACAAAATCTATGGGTCTTTGTGACCAGCATCTTTCTCTTGGTATAATGTTTTCAAGGTTCATCCATGTTGTAACATGTATCAGTACTTCATTTCTTTTTATTGCCAAATGGTACTCCATTATATGTATATCCATGTTTTCAGTTGACGGACATCTGGGTTCTTTCCACTTTTTGTCTACTATGAATAATACTGCTGTGAACATTTGTGTACAAGTTTTTGTGCAGACATGTGTTTTCTTTTCTCTTCAGTATACACCTAGGAGTAGAATTGCAGGATGGTATGGTAATTCTATGTTTAACTATTTGGGGATCTGCCAGACCGTTTTCCACAGCAACTGTGCCATTTTACATTCCTATCAGCTGTGTGTGAGGGTTCAGATTTCTCCACGTCGTGCTAATAAATGTTGTCATGTCTTTTTTATTATAGCTATCTTAGTTTGTATGAAGTGGTATCCCATTGTGGTTTTGATTTGCATTCCCCTGGTGGCTAACTTCTTTAAGTACTCATTTTTCCTAGACATAGATTGAGAGTTGTAGTAAACACAGCAGATACGAGTTAAAGGAATTAAAATGTTAGAATTCACTCATGATTTGAAGAATCAACTCTAAAATTTGCTTATTTCTCTGTTGACAGAAGGACCCAGTTAATTCAGCATCAGATAATAAATTTTCTAAGGCTAGGGATGGTGGCAAATTCATCTTTGTAACAGACTATGGCCCTAAAGGAGTTAATGATATTCTACAAACATTTAGCTGAAGCTAAAAATGTGGCCCCAAATGAGTCTCTTATTAGATCATCTGGCTTAAGAATCAAGAATGACATTTTGTTTCATGAAAAATATTAGCAGAAAATGGAGCAGTTTGAGGGCTGAGTGAATAAAAAAACACTTAATAAAATTAGGAACACGACGTATAAAAGTACGTAATGAATGAATGTATTCTGATTAGGTGACTTTATAAAAATAAATCTATTGATCATTACACGCCACATTATATTCATTTTATGAAGTAATTATTTTGTCTTATTTTCCTTGCTCAGCGGAATATCATGCACAAAGATTTCAGTTAACACTTTTGTAGAAAAAGGCTTTAAATATACTGAGTCCCAGCCAAGGTCCAGATTAGTATAAACTAAGATTGTGTTTATCAGATATTTATCTTGTTTATATCTGTTATTAGTATCTTTATTCTTGTTTCCTATTTGGGGGGCTTAGTACATGGATTTAAGATAAAGACTTTTTTTGTTATTTCTTTCATAGTGAAGGAATTCATTTTCTTCTATATAATGCGTTAGCAGTATATTACAATTTTTTGTCATAAATTCATAACTTAAAATATATCCTTGTCATGTTTTCTAGACTTCCTCCCTAACCCAGGCATCAATTATTTTTAAATGCCTATGTTTGACTATATTTCATTTCTGCTTTTATTTTTTGTTTTATTACTTAAGATTCGACAACATACAGAAATCTTAATTTACCTTTATCCATATTTGTGACTCATCTGGACATACTCGAAAATTGTTTTCCTTACTATATTGTGAACTTATCTCCAGTCTCCAGTTAATCAATCTTTCTAATTATTTAACACTGTAATTTTTCCATTCCCACTTTAACACATTTTAAAAGTTGTATTTTTAAATGTTTAGTTAAAATTATAGTTGTTTTGTTATTTTCCTATTTTCACTTAATGACACAATTATATACATAACACTTTACATTTATAGTATATCTTCATATTCATTAGCCTCAGTATAGTTTTTTCACCATTTAATGTATATTTCACTGTTTTATGGTCATCTTAATCCTGTGTTGATGCTTTCTGTCATGAAGTATACTGCATGGGACATGTTGGTAACAACCTAAGCTGATGATCCACAGATGATCTTAGAACAGTGGTTCCTAACCTCAGGGCACCCTGTCTAAGAAGGAGGTCCTGGAGGCTCTCTTGAGATCATTTGACTAACTTTCTTCTCTTTTAGCTGGAGGTACATATTGGAAAATTTGGTTACCAAAAGCCCTGATCACCAATATATTTGGATTAATAAAAAGAGTAAAAATAAATTACTAGTTGATAATTATATTTATGCAGAT